AGGGTAATTTATTAGATATTTATTTGCCTGTCATTTATCAAACATTATCACTAAATAAGACAATTGTCAATATATTTCTGAACGGTTCAGATAATATATAGCAAATAAAGACTTCACATCATAGGCCGCAGTTATCACTGACCCTGGACTTAATATTGCCAAGCAAATCCGGGACTATTGGCAGTCAGTGTCTGAAAAACTTCTAAAAAATGTCTCACTTGACATAATAATGCATACAGATGTATTGACTAGCAAATGGGCTGGCAGCTTCAAATTACCCTATGGAATCGGAAAGCGTGTTATTTTAAGACTGTACATAGAGTAAGTTCATTTCAGAATATGTTCAAAATTCAAATCCCTCTCAACAACAGGGGTTTAGTTTTTGTCTTAAACTGTTAGTTTATCAAGTGAAGAGGACTGGACCGTGTCTTTGACGACCATATTGACGATCTTCACATGGCACACAAAATACGATATTATATAAGGGGATTCCTGGGGAGGATGCTCATTTTTTTTTACAATAATTTTTTTTACAAGTACAATTACAATTATTTACATTTAAAGACGCAATGAAAACAAACCACAAGAAGCTCTTTAAATACACAAACATATATGTATTTTTTATTTGACAGCACAGTGGCATGACAGCACAATGGCTTGTATAATGGGTTAGATCCCAGATAATGTCGCATTCTGAGAGGAATCTGTATATTCCTCCCTTTTTCAGCATGGGGTCTCTCTTTTCACCTTCCAAATACAATTGGTTGGGTTGATCTTTTGTCTCTAAACTTTCCCTGCAAGTTTTTTTTGGGGCATCACATTCAGGGTGTGGTGTCGCCATTCGGCCTAATGTTCTTCTGATGAATGACGGAAATTTGTTTTTTATCTTCATAGATCAGATGCCAATTTTTTTTAAAAACGTGTGTGTTCTTTTGACATTTCTCAATAAAAAACACTACATTTACTATGCTTTTGGTTTTTGCTCAGTATTACCTCAGCTGTATTACACGGATTAACTTGAATGAGACAGGTGTTCAGGCTCAGCAAATGCAACCTCAGCAGAAGTTTGTTTTCTTTGGCGTTACTCTGTTTTTGATTCTTTGCTGTAAGCAGGAGCCTACTGTTCATTGTGTGCCGTCCCTCTCACAGCTATCCTGCATTCCAGACTTTATCACATCAGCTGAAAAAGCAATGTTTTCTCAGCAGGTGCAAAAGACCATGCTCATCTTCAAAGGAGGCTAAGAATGAATTGGATGGTAATAAACATGCTAATTCTGGTCACAGAATACAAAATAGTCTCTTCAGAGCAAACACTGTTGTGTATCTCCATGCCTGTACGTTCAGCATTTCTTTTCAACACGAGGTAAATATTGTAGTAAATGACCTACAATGGAAATCACCATTCACATCAGATATGACAAAAGGTGAAGACCCTGCAAAGGCTTTATTCATTTGTTTAACAGATAAGGCAGTTGCTCTCTCAATCTGAAAAAAAAAGATGAGCATGATTTGTATAAGCTAAGGGTCCTACTTAATTGAAATAAATTAATGGACAGTTTTATCAACATATGATTACACAGTATACAAATACTGGATGCCATCTTTACATCACCATCTTTTCAAAAGGAATGATCTACTTGGCTTGACAATATTTTAACCTATTTGGCATGGCAACAGACCAAAAACAGCCCAAAGCCATTCATTTCTCTCTAAAAAGAAGGAGAATTTGTTGCATTATTCTGCATATATAAGTGATTAATCAGATTTTGAATACGTAAAGTAAACAGAGGTGGACACTCAGGAAAAGAAGTACATGTTTATACAGAAAAGGCCTTCAAACTTTAGGTGTGATGTAAACAAAAGAACACAAGCTACTTGGTCTTATATACAAAGGCACAACCATTTCAGTTATGCTGTTCCTTAGTTATGGTAACTAAATTAAAGATTGTTATTCTTGAAAACACTTTGATTCATTAGTATTTGGATTATTGGCAGTATATATTTAAAGTGTTTAAAAAACAAAAAAACCATATTGTGTAAAATGATGTCAGTCTATGTAACAATTAGATTAAGAAACAGACTGGCTAGAGTGTGGAAAAAAAGATACTGGGAACTTCAAGTTTGCTTCCAGGACCTCAGATTAAGAATCATTTGACTAAATGATTCAAGTATATACAAGGTGAAAATAAAGAGAATTCTACTTTACAGCTTTGCACGTAAAAGCTTAATGAAGAAAGTACCATTTTCTTGGTACACATTCACAATGAGAATTATAACATGTGCTGGTCATATGTAAGGTCACAGTATTTTGCTTCACTGGACGTAACATGCTAGTGGTTGACAACTGATGGTCTTAACCCACATTACATTTCTGCAAACATCTCTCATTTGGGTGGGCTGTGGAGTGAAGCAGATGCTATTGGTCGTTTCAGAAAAGAACGTGGAGCTGTTGAAGTCACAGATTGTTTTTCCCTTTAAAACAAGGTGTTGATTGCACCAATAACAGTGTCAATGCCCTGGATGAGCAAAAATAAGCAAGAACCACACTGACTGGCAGCTGTGTTGTGTTGTACCAAATTAATTCTTTCAGCTGTGATTTGTGCAGCCAGTCAAACCAACAGGTGGAATTCATTGATAAAATATACACTGTGTGGGGTGGCTACTTAAAGATGCAAGAAACATGTGTGAATGTGGTAAACATATGGGTCTGTGTTACCATAGTTATATTTAAAAAGTATACACTCAGATTTGTATTAAACAGTATTAGAAAGCAGTATAGTTTGCGATATTGTATATTTTGTAAAATATTAACATATTTTTAATCGGGAGAAAGCTTTCTGTCAACTATGAAAAGTATGCATGAAAAACTCCAAATAAGGTGGACCAATTACAGGCACCTTAATGGGGTAATTAGTTACTGTGTTACAAAACCTCTTGAGTATTTCAATAAATGAATATAGAATGAAAGGACACACAACTTAGCAGTGAAATCAGAAAGCAGTTCATTTAATGAAGGTCTGAGATTATCTAGAAGAAACTGCTCAGCCATGTTGTTGAAATGAATAGCCAGGAATCCTAGAACAAACAACCAGATACCACCATTACCAATGTAAAGTCTTAACAGGCTCTGGCCAGCAGAGCCTGTTGGTATCTTGGCATGGACCATCATCTACAGGAGGAATTCAGCACCATTCTTCCACAAGAAAACTCACCCCCAGTTGATGGAGGTGAAAAACCCTTTGAAATGCCATTATAAATGAGATGGCATTATATCCCACAAATGCTTTGATTTGGATTAGATCTCTTGATTGTGCAGTCCACAACTGCATAATAATGGATAATATCAGTGTCATGGTCATCAAACCATTGGGCGACCACAGATGTTCTGTGGTTGGGGACAGTGACATCCAGAATGACACCACTCCAAGCAGGAAAGAAATACTACTACTGAGATGATTACTCACTACCATTAACCTTGCATTCTATGGGAATAAGTACACCCAAACATTGCCAGGAAAATGTGCCAAACAACATTACAGGACCACCAGAACCCTTTACTGTTGGAACCAAGCACTCCTGGCTGTAGAGTTCTTTCAGGCTGGTGCTTTCAGGTCTTTAGGTTGGTGTTACAAAGTGTACTCATTTATTTGTCAAGAACTTGGTGAAGTATGATTTATCAGACCATATCACCGTCCTGCACTGCTTGGTAGGCCACTGTCCATGCTCTTTTCACCACTGGATATACAAACACGCACTGTAATCTGGGTATGGTATCCAGCTCTGTGGAGCCCATATTGGATCACTTTGATTAAACTGGCTGCTTGTGCCCTAGGTTAAAATCTGCAGTCAACTGATTTGTAGTCTCTCGCCCGTTTTACCTTGCACTTCGAATTAAGGCAAGGGTTACACGATCCTGGAGTATGCACTTCCACCCCCTGCCGCCCATGATGTCTTTCCCGCAGGCCCATGCTAATATCACCTTAGACACCATTTCTTGTGAAACATCAGCAAGTGGAGCTGTCGTGGTAGCCAAAGCTCCTGTTAAATGCGTCCCAGCAATCACCCTGCTTTCAAAGTCACAGAGGTCTTCTTTGCAGCCACTCCAGCCATAAACATAGGCAACCAGACCTGCCAAGCATGTTTATACATGTTCCTAAGCATTCTGGGATGTTATTTGCTTAATTAACATGACCCATTCTTTCAATATACTTGGTGTACATAGCTGGGTGTTTCCATTTTTATCTACTACATGTACAGTACACTGTATTTCAACCACTCATTAAGTAACAGTCATATACAGTAAGGACAGTGACTATTTAATGCTTAATGCTATTTAATTCTACTGTCTTTACAATACATTTCTTTTAACTACCTAAAAAGATCATACATTAACTTTATAAATTCAACTGAAATGTATCAACACGTATTACAATAATTTGTTCTATGTGAGAAAAAAGGTTACTACAGTTTACTTTCATTTCTGTTTTTCACATACTAAAATCCATGTTTGATCTTGAAATGTTTTGTACATGTAGCAGAAAATGAGATTATTACTAAGCAAAGTTGATGGTACTAAAGCAGTGCTAGCAATGAAAGAATAGCCTTCACGTATTTACATATTAATCAGCACTGTCTGCAAACACCCAAGGTCACCCTCCAAAAGCAATTTGCATTTCTTGTGTTCCACTGGAAATGTGGTCCACATGCTGGGAAAAGTGGATGCAAATGTGTGTTGAGATTATTTTTAAAGGGAGGGGAAATAAAACAAAGCAGATCAATCTTACATTTAAGTCTTCCGTGACTTGCAATTTCATTGTTTTTGTTTTATCTAAATGGAGCTAAATCAGCATGCAATGAATAATTATACATATATTTGTTTTTAAAACTACGTGAATGAAAAAAAGACTTTCAGCTTACCTGATCAGCTGGTGGAAGTAAAACAAGTTGTAAAGGAACAAGAGTTAATGATATTATTCTGTTGCTGAGAAAAGTTGACCTACCACGTAAAACAGTGAGCCTGGTGGAAGCACTTGTTTCTCCAACACTGTTGGAGGCAACACATTCATATATAGCTTCGTCTCGCGGAGTACGCAGGGGCTGAATTCTTAGAACAGACCCAGATCCATCGTCAAACTCTATCACCTGCAGGTGTGAGAGACAAGATATGTTAAAGGAGTTTTTTTGTTCACAATATTTGATGGACCTTTATCATGACTGATCATTAACCATAATGGTTACCTTCAGTTCTTTTAGATTTCTCTTACTCCAGATTGAAACAACTGTCATAGACTGTATTGCAAATCATTAAAAAGGGGGACGGTCTTCTGAAAATATTAATCAAGATATAAAACGATCTTCTGGTCTGCTTCTGTAGTTCATGATATGCACTGACTTCTCAGAAATGTAACAGAGACTTTATCAAAGGGGAAAAATGGGCTGCGTTTACTTTTCATGTTTTTCATAGCATATCAGTTGACCTTTTGGTTCTAATTCAAATTCCAAGGAATTCCAAGGAAGTCAAGCTACTATAAATGTGCAGCATTATTAAATATATAGGCCACATTACTATCAATGTAAAATCACAGACCTAAAAATGAGATTGGACGATTTAGTGTGAAGCCCATTATTACAAACAAAACAGATATTTTAATAAATTCCAACACAGTGAATCTAATTTGTCTTGAAGTCAAAACAGCCATACGCAATGTGATTTGATATAACTCTAAAGATAAAAAAATATTTTTTTTCCCTCTGGAAAAACTGTGGACAAGTTGATAATGTAATCCAATTACTCTGGAGTGGGCAGCTTGCTAAGTTTGCCTACAGGGAAAATAAGAACCAAAGTGTTTTAGCTGCTGGTTAGTTTTGGCTTGACATGCATTGGCACAGTGGGTTCTTTTCAATTTTTCATTCAACAGTGTGCTAAATTAATTAAATTCTAGTGCTGTAAACAGCTTCATAAATGTCCACCTTCATCTTGGTTAAATGAAAAAACTCATTACTTGAAATGACCAAACTCCAATAACATTAAAGATGGCAAAGGGGACTGACTAGGCAAAACCCTAGGAAAGGCATTTGCACAGATAAGAACCTCACCCATATACCAAACTAAACTTTATTTTTGATTCACACTAGCATTAAAATATTTCAAGATGTTTTTTAATTTAAAAAGTTAGGTGAGCCCAATGTTTTAAACACATTTAACAGACAGATGCCACAAAAAATCAAAGGAAAGAAATGCAACAAACATTTGAATGTGCTTCAAAAACAATACAGAACAAGTTCCGATGATATAAAGTGATATGAAATACAAAAGACAGTTGTGACCACCTCCCACACTTTTGATCAAACAGGTTGAACAACAATATATAACAAATGCCAAAACAAACAACTGTATGGTAACTTGTTCAGATATCTCCACATGCCGTATACTCACTGTTTAAAGAAATACCTGCGTAATTACACATTTTTGTCTTTAATACTTTTGAAAGTAGCTGCATTTGTTTTGAATTTGAATATGTACAGATTATTTGGATGGATTTTTGACCTTCATGAACATGCCAGTTTGTGCTTAGGCGTTCTTTGCAACTGCATGTGATGTTGCAGCTGATCTCTCCCAGTTTGAGAGATCTCTCTGGGCTCTGAAAGAAAATCTTCTTTATTAGAAATGAAGCACACATGTGAGTGAGCGTAGGGTGACTATGTCAGGGTGTTTCTGCCAATGGCGTCACATGTATGAAGCCAGCACTCTACATTCAACAAGCAGCTTTAAATGAATGTGATGAACTCTGATAAGATTAGATTTTCAGTTTAATGCAAAAACATAGCTCTATTACTGATAATGTGTTTGGTGATTTAAAATACAAAAAGATTTCAAGAGGAATATGGATCCGAAAGGATTTGATGCATTTGAGGATTTTTATTGAGTATTTAGGTAAGGTGACATTTAGCTTAACTCTCTTGGCTTAGGACCAGCTTCCTGGCCACAGGACAAGGAAGCTAGGATCCCTTGCGAGTGAGGAGTTCACCCAGGGTTTGTTGCAAAGGTGGAGATGTGATAGAGGAGGGGTGAAAAGAGATGAAATGCAAATAAGAGGGGTTTGTATATGATATACACACATATACAGCTTTAAGAAATGACATTGGGACATGGGGACAACCGGATTATCATTTAGAACAGCCGGGAGAAAGTGGCTTTGTTGTTGCCATCCCTCCCAAACTTCAGTTAAGAACCTCCATTTAAAAAGCAACAGTATTATTTAATGAAATGCAACAGAACTTCATATGAATCTTATCAGTGTTCAGCAATTATGTGTGGGTATTAATGTTGCACAGCCTAAGCTCAGATTAGAATCAAATATTTGGCAAAATGATAAAATGCATGCATTTTTAAAAACCACAAAAAAAGCAAAAGGGGCTTTTAACATTGCACTGCACAATAATCAACATTTTTTTGCAAAAGCTGTTACTTAGCTGAAAGAAAGCAAATGTCAGATGAAGTTAGGTATCTAGGGCAAGGCAGCTTTTTAATTACAAATCTGTCCCTGGATCTCTGCATATATTCTCATTTAAATCATGCATGTAAAAGCCTGATAAAGTGATTATTAAAGCCCATTAATGCATCCAAGAACGCAAGCATGGCAGCTGGATTATGTGGAGAACCAAGCACTTTTGAGCATTCAAATGTCGAGCATTTTACATCAGAACAATAGACCTAATACCTCAAATCTCTGGTTGCTGACTTTCTTCCCCTTCTTGTTCCACACAATCTTAGGCCTTGGGTCTCCAGTAGCTTGACAAATGAATGACGCTACTCCTCCTTGTACTCCTGTCTGGTCAGTGGGAGTTCTTATAAACTTTGGTGGTGCTGAAAAGAATAAAAGAAACAATGACTTTGTGAAATCCATCCTTAAATATGGCAGGTTTTGGTTCTTGAATAAGGGCATCAATCGGATGGTTGAAAAGTAAACAAACAGGAGAGATATTGCTGCAAACCAGGAGACATCTCCTGCTTTAATGAACTGCTGCAATCTGTGGCATATTTAGCAAAACACTGTTCAAGCTATTAAAGATACTTGTAGTCACTGAAATGGGCATTTACAAAATTCCTGTTCACATTTCACTGATTTTTAAAACTTGCTTCATTTCCATTTACCACACAACCTGATCCATACTTTGATCTTAACTTCTATTTTCAAATTATCTCTTGAGCTAGAGCTTCTGGAGCTACAGTATAAACACGGGGAAGACCCTATACAGGTCTGACTCAAGCTGCACCTGGTATTTTTGTCATACATGAATACAACCAGGAAACATCATTACACACATTAGTATAAATAATTTTGGGATGTGAGAACTGCCCTATCACTCAATATGATTCTAAAAGGATTATGAGTACCCAACTGTTGTTTTTTAATAACGCACAAAGAATTAGAATAAAAATGTCAACCGTTTTCAAAATAGTATTTCATTCACATGACCATGAGATAAAAATACTTAAGTGTTTACTTTTTGATCTTAACTGTAACATACAAACAATAGCTGTGTTATTTACTGTATATAAAGCACTTTAAATATGTTGCGTGTCTGAGTAGTGAACATTTTTTAAGTGAACAACATTCCTGAGAATGCAGTCATTTAATAACTGGGAAAGGTGATATTAATATTTATCAGTTGCCTATTTATCTCTAGGCACAATTAATCCTAGTTCCAGAACAAAACGAGTACAGCTATGTATCCTTTGTGTTTCTGCCTTGTGTCTGCTGAGTCAAGTAAGTTATATTTAGGGAGCAAATACAACTTCTTTCTCAAGCAGGCAAACCACAAACGTGGTCTACTCCAGCATTTTGTTTTGATTCCCTTTGTATCATGGACCCACCCAGCTATTATGGACAGGGAATCTTGTTAATATCTTTTAAAGGGGTAAACAAAAAAAACAATTACTTCAAAGTCAAGATTGGTTTACATCCACTGAAAGACAATGCTATAGTATCCACTATTTATAACCTTTCCCGACAACTGTGTAGCCTCAGCTAACAATGTGTGAGGTAGATTCCACACACTTCATTAACCCCTGATGCCACAAGCCTGGCACCAACCCAGAGCTTTTGAGTTGAATAGCACACAGACATGATATGTTCTTGGCAACCACCTGATAGGTCATCCAAGATTTCCAAATCCTGATTGGTCCTCTGCTTTTGTGTTTCCAAAACACCCACACAAGGCAGAAAACAAGTTAGACTGAGTGAGTAAAGGCAAACAGCACTTTCTTTGTCTGACATCTCCATATGGAAGATAATGTTATCTTGGCCTGTCTGCATGTGCTGCAATGTAACACTTCTACCACTCACAAAGCATTCAAAAACTTGTCCGTTAGACAGCAGCATTAAATCTTATACTGTCCCTCAAAGCATTGCCTTGGCTAGACTCCAGAGCTGCAGCTCACTTCAACGATAGTGTGTTTCCACCCTGCCTTATCAAGGGCACTAACATCGACACTGATTTATTTCCAAATTATTTTTAAATGTTAAAGCAAACACTGTAAGTCATAATCACTGCATACCCTCACCCCCCACAGGCATCCATCTAATTAAAATGCTTCTTTTTTATAGAACTCTGAATTTTCATCGATTTCTCAGACTCAATGACATTTGCAGTATAAACATTTTTTTTTACATATTTAACATTTCAGAGATTATCAGTTTTCTCTGTTAATGAAACTTCTGTTCGTTACTAAGCCCATCGTTTCACTGCAATCGTGCAGAGATGCAGGTTTAAAATATTTTAATTTCTCTCCCAGGGGATTACCAAGATCAAAATAAGGTGCGACTCCACCTGTCGCTCTGCAACAAAACAGTGCTTTATTAATTGTTGCAGTGGGCTTTTAGGAACCTTTTATCTGCCAAATAGAGGGGTGGCCATCGTTGGGCAGAGTGATCCTGACAATAGAAATCGAATCTGAAGGCACCACTTTAAAAGCAACAAAGAGACGTGAAACAAAATCAAAAGAAGATAAACAAAGCAGCAGCTGCTCACAAAACATGTTCATGTGACTGACTCGCTCATCTTTGACAACAAACTAAAAGACCTCCAGGCAGGTGTCCTTAAACCCAGAGCACACAATAGATCCAGGATGAAAGGGCTGTGTTATCTGGAAACACATTATCCTGTATCTGCTTGCAATCTAACTGATAATTAAACCCCAACAAATCTGATATATTTAATCTCTCCTTGTCCATTACTAAGTCTTTCAAGAATTGGCCATACAGGCTACATCTACAGGTTTAGGCTTGTAACATAACTGCTACTATGCCAACGTTCCTCAACCATTTTAGGTTGCACATCCAATCTTGTGTAATGTTGTACACCCACAACCCGACAGCAGGTGACATTGTATTGGCAGCATGGAGAAGGGTTCTAGCTCTGCATCTGGAAGCATATGGCTTCAAATTCCATGTGAGGTATTGCTATTATACCCTTGAGGAAGGTACTTTCCTTCGATTGTTCCTGCAAAATGCCCTAGTGTATAAAAATGGGTAGGCTGTTTTAAATGGGAATTTGTGCTCAGTTGACTTATCTGGCTAAATAAAGGTCTGTAATTATTTCAGTGCTGAAATGTCAGTAAGCATCATTTTAAGAAGCTCATGTGCCAGACAACAAGAGAGGGAAGGCTGAGGCAGAGGTGTAAAGAGCATTTTCTGTTTTTAAAGGTAAATACTCAATTTTCCAATGTGTGTTTTTCTATTTGTGTGTGTGTGTGTTCGACAAGTTAACTGTGGTTAATTTAGAACTACGTCCACAGCATATATACAAATGAGAAATAGGAAATATAGTTAGAGCACTTAATATTTCACTACAAATGACAGATATGCATTGCTGTGAAACCACTGTAACACTTCGCAGACCAGACCAGACAAGAATCTTTTTCCTTAATTTTATCACACCCTCTATCCCTCAGTTTGTTTGTTTGAAGATGATTTACAGGAATGGTCTGACCCCACACTTATTGTGATGGTCTTGAGAAAAATTACTTTCATATCCAGGAAGATTTTAAAATTTGACAGATATGTTTTGTAAAATGGGCAATACTATTTTCATTTTACAACCATTGTAAATGGACATACTGTATCAGAGCAACAAGAAACGATCAATATGGTGATGTGCTACAGAGGATGGGCATCTTATAAATTACAAAAAAATGAAAAAGCAACTATGTGGACTTACAAATTGTACAGCTTATTAAAAAACCACAAGGAAAACATCAGAATGTCACATTCAAGACAACATTTCAAAAACCGAAAGTTGTACTATTTACCAAGAGCAATACTCTTTATTTCATAATTTTACCCTAATTATTTTAGCACTGATTGTTTAAAGAAAGCTAATGTTGATATTATTTTATTATTTATTATTAAAGATTGATTTTTGATGTCTCAATTCTATCTATACTTTACACAAAATCACTATATAACAAGGATAAAATCATAAGTGATACAACTTCAGATGACAATAAATAGTGCATTTTCTTAAAGATTACGCTAAAATATAATTCAGATGTTGCAAATTGTAATATGATTATAATCTGAGACAGAGATGAATTACCAGACCAAGCCAGCATAAACCTCTAAATTATGTTCCTGTAATATAAAGGAATCCAGTATTACTGTCTTAAGTACACTGCAATTAAACCTGTTACTCTTTTGGTTGCTTGATATTAAGTGTATTGTTAAATTATGTGTTGATGCCATTGGCCTCTATCACATCTCACAGAGTGAGCCATATGACTGAGAATGTCCTGATAAAACAGCAGACAGTTCATAAGAGATCAACATGGGAGACACAACAATAGTCTCACAAATGTAGTCATTTCAGATTGATAACAGAAAGAAGTTATCTAGTATTTATATTAGTTCTCAAAAAACAGAAAGCAGACTCTCAGGTAGTCCAGTCAACTAATTTTGTGGCCTGTCAAAGTAATTCTGTGTACCCAAACTAATTTAGGTTTGTAATAGCAAGAAAGTGAATACTTCTGCAATTAACACATTTAAGTTTTAGATTTTTCTTTGCACTTTTTGCTGACACTTTGTTTATTTATAGCTCAATTAGAGAATACAGGTTTGGACTTCAAATTGTTGTTTTGAAACAAAAAATATAAACCATTTGTAATTAAAGAAAACAGGACACCTTTGGAAGGGGGACATACTTTTGCAAGGCACTGTATTACACCACAGTAAATAACTAGAAACATACAACTAAAAGCTAGAAATGCATTTCTCTCAATTCCCTTCATACTTAATACTTATGCATCTCTATATTTTATTATAGAAACATCATGGAATTAAAAACAATTACTAAAACAAAACTCAAAAAACAAATTCAGGATGTGAATTTGTCATCAAAATAATGCTACCATCAATAATAATTATTTTGGGAGTATTATTTTTACACTGTCTGTGCATCCATCTCTTCATATAGTAAACATGGTACTTGTGATAGTATACATGTACTTGGCTGGAAAGTGAGTTGTCTGTTGGTGGCCAGATCATGGTTTCATCTAAAATTAGAATAATTTTCAGTATGGAGTTACAGTAACCAATGGATTACACAGAAATTTAAAGAAGCACGACTGGAAACAAGTCCTTTCCTTCTGTATACTGTTACAGTGCATGAATAAAGATAGATGCATACACAGCTGACACGCTGTATTCTCTGTTCCAACCTAAACATACATTGATACTTGTAGGCTGACCATGATATTTTCTACTGCATAAAAAGGGTTTAATTTTCCATAGATGATTTACGCGGAATTATTCTGACAGTGTCAAAACTGATGTTTTGCTACAATCCAGCATTATGATACCAGTCCTG